CACAGCTCCACCCCGCCGTGAGCTGTGGGGGTGGGTTTTTGGGGGTTTAAAAGTCCACTTATTTAAAGGTGGCAAAGGTTGAGAAACACTGTTCTAGGGCATCTCTTCATGAGCAGAACTGGCATCCAGAGAAGAGCCCTGTTGCTTTGGATCAAGGGATACACACAGCATCTTGCAGCAAAGAATTCCATAAATTAATTTTGCATCACACCAGTCTGAGGAGAGTAGCTAGTCTGTGCTGTCTTGCCTTAAATCCCAAGCTTGTGTGCACATTTGTTCCTGGTGGGAGACTATTTTGCACAGATGTTTTTCTGAGCACTGAGAGTTTAAAATCCAAAGAAAAGGGTATTTTTGTGCTCTGTGAGTACAAATATGGCATTTGACGTTGGAGCCCAGCCGTCATCTTTACCTTGTTCTCAATTTACTGGATTTTTTTCCCCAGGGTATTTTTCATTTAGCTTCCCTAGCTTGCCTTCTAGGAAGTGATTGTTTCTAAGGGACTCTCTCAATCAGGGTTGCTATTTTGTGAATGGATATTCTTCATCTCATGGCATGTATTTTATGAGAGCCTCTATAAGGTGCTTTCAGCTCTTCAAGTGTGTCTGTCACCCCTGAGTGATTTAGGACTCCTCCAGAGATGCTCCTAAGAATGGATTTATATGGAAAAATGAGCAAAAATGGTCATAATGCAATAAATACAGAGACAACCCTTGGAAGTGGATTCCCCATCATTCTCAGCATCCATATGCTGGGCTATGTGAGGCACATGCTGGCCTAGCTTCTGTAACACACGCAAACCCAGCCAATTGTGGCTTGTTCATCAAAACATAGTTAAATAACCCATGGCTGACCTTGGTGCAGTGTATGAACTTGATCCGAGCGTGCAGTGTGTTGGCTGTGGAGCGGGAGACTGAAATTGCACACATCATTGTAGTTGCTGGTCTGTAGATGAGCAGGTTGTATAAACCCTGCCATTGTGGGTTGAAAACCATGGTTTATGCATTGTTCTATGCAAACAGGCAGGAGTTCTTTAACAAATCATGGTTAAACCTGGCCTGGCGTGTTGCCTGAAATACAGTGTGGACATTTGTAAGCCCCTCTCAAAGTCAGGGTTTCTCAGTCTTGCAGCTGGCTGGGAAATTCTGGGAGCTGAAGTCCACGCATCTTAAAGTTGCTGAGACTGAGAAACGCTGCTTTAAATTCTGTAATGTTTAAAAGTGCTTTAAGAAGCAGCAGCAACGGTTTTTACACTGCGGGAGCTGGATTCCTGATTTGGGGAAGGAGCAACTGAGCCCAAAGCCTTGTGTCCGAATGTCAGTTAATCTCTGGTCCTGATCCGGCTTTCTCCAACTTGAGCCGGCCCAAGTGGCCTATAGCCTCCGCAAAGGCTAAGCAAGCCTCATGCTCGTAACGTGAGGCCTTATTAGAACTATTTCCGCAATAACACTGGAAAATTGGTGAAAAGCAGAAGCGCTTTCTAGAGAGGAACAAGCCAACCGTGGCAGACCACGCTCTTGCCAATATTCAAAATGGCCGCTACAGCCCAGCGGGAAGCTTCTTGCCCTTACATAAGATGGGAACGTTCCCACCCGTTCGTTCATCAGCTGTTTCTTCCCTTTTGCCCTGACTCCAGATGGCGACTTCCCTTCCTCGACTGAGAAGCCTTTGCCAGCTTATAAAATGGCGGCACCGGCGGTCGAGGGGAACGGGCGATTGGTCTATTCTCCATCCCCGCCTCTTCTCCCCTCCCCTCCCTCCTCTGCCCGGAACAAACATGGTGCCACGAAACGGGACGCGAGAGCCCCCAGGAGTTCGGGAGGGAAGGCCCAAGTGCTCCTGGGTAGACGATGAAGCAGCTGCCACTTCCGCCGTGAAGAGGCCTCGCCAGGAGTAAAAATGGCGGAGTCGGTGCTAGAAGTTGTCGGAAAGCTGCAGTCTCGGCTCTCGGGCAGTTCGGAACCGAAAAAGGTAAAAGGGGGCCCTGGAGGGAAGGGTGAAGCGGACGGAGAGCGGGTCTGGGGTAGCCGGACGACGGCTGGGGTGGCCCTGAGCGGTGGGGAAGGGGGCCAGCAGGGGCCCCTTTGGGGGCCACGGCGAAGGGTGGAAGAAATGGGGAGGGGGGCCTGAGAGGAAGAGAGGGAGACTAGCTGGGGGGTAAGGCGGGCTGCACAGCGGGTGGGGGGGGGCAAAAGGGGTTGTGCTATGGGCGCAAAGGATGGGGGAGCGAGGGTGCAAGTGGGGCGCCCCCGGGCCTTGCTGGGCGAGCGAAGCGCTGCGAGATTTTCAGGCCCACCGAGCGACCCTCCCCTTGAGGGTGGCTCTGCGTGTGCTGGATGCGTGTAAACATCGTAGGTATCGGGGATGGACGTTCAATGGGAAGAGCAGATGCCGCAGGGAATAGCCGGGTCTCCAAGGGCAGAGCCGGGTCTTCCCCTCGCCTCCCCCCAGTCGGGACACGCATTTTAACGACTGAACTTTGAACCCGGGAGAGATCCACCTCCATTTTCATTGTGTGTTGCCGGAGGGGGGGCTGGTTTTAGGGGCTGTCCTGTTCCAAATGAATTGGGGCACTGAGGCGAAGTTGGGTGGGCGTGACGGCTTCCAGAGAGGTGGTCGTGTCCTTGGGGGGGGAGGGGCGCAAGCCAACAAAGGTTCCTGGGGCGCCTTAACGGCCTGCATGTGCGTTATAGAAATTAAATCTAAAAATAGTAACCATCATTATCAAGTGGGCTGTAGTCACCAAAGGCTTGTAGAAACGTGCGAGTCTCAGGTGCCACAAGACTGCATGTTGTTCTGTGGAAAGAAGAGAAACCTTACAGATCTTGGGGGGGGGGGGCTTGGGCATGCTGCCCACCTACTTTTCCAAATATTCAGGGAAGGGCAGAGCATTTGAAGATGATGCTGGTAGTGCTCTCTGAATCATCTCCAGTGTTTTAAAAAAACATCACTCCAATCTAGTGCAGGATCTCAGCTGCTTGCATCCACTTTACCTATACAGCTGCTGAAAGAAACCTCCCTTGCAATCCTGGTATTTTTGATTATGCTAATAACCTGTAAGGAAAACAATCCCAAGGAAAGTTAGAAATCTGCAAAGAAGTAACTCTGCTAAGTGATTTCCTTTGTGTCCTAAACATGTGAGAAGCAGATACAGAGGGAGGCTCTTTGAATAATGAACAATTTAAAGGGTAAAGGACTGGATTTTCTCTTTCATTTGGTTCATAGATTTCCCCTCCACCTTTTAAATCAGTATTGCTTGGCATTCTCTGAATAGTTTGTAGTTGTCTATTCGTTGAATGGGCTTAATGTAAGGATAGGAAAGAAAAGAGGTATATGATAGACCAAGTGCTGAGTAAAACACAGAATTTCCAGAGCAGATTTTTGCATCTTTAAATCATCAAGCAAAGAGACATTGCTTCTAAAAGCACTTCATGGAATTGAAGGGTTTGATATTTTATGTTTTGTTGGAAGCAATCTGAGTTACTACTTTACCTGAAAAACCAAGATCAAATGGTCCATTCCTTTGGGTGTCTGGGCGTTAGAACCCTTGAGGTGTGTATGGGTAGTCCCCAGTTTAAGAAGGAGTTCTGTTCTCAAGGTCTGTCCATAAATCAAATTTGTATGTAAGCCGGAACAGTATTATTGTATAATACTGTATAAGTAGTATTGTGTAATGAACTCGAACCATTGTATATTTAACTCGAATTTTGCTACAATGGGCTCCGTTCTTCACTATGGTTTGTCTGTAAGCCAGGCATTCTTAACCTGGGGACTACCAAACTTCAGAATACTTTGGATATGCTTTGAATCATCTGAAAGTGCAAATCTGGGGTGATCACTTACAAATATATCTTCTGCAAATAGTCCTTTAAGAATGTTGCTAGTACTTGCCATAATTTATTAAAGGACAAAAATCAGTTATGAAAGAAAGGAAAAGTACAGCTCGTCCACTACCTTTACCTTTTATTAGCGCCTGTCCACAAGTATGCTTTTGCGTCATTTGCTGTGTGTATATGGGAGAGAGGTTTATTTACTCTGGAAAATCTTGGCTTTTGCTTAAAGTGTGAAGTGAAGCTTCTAGCCAATTATTGAGACGAATGCAGAAAATCTTTTTTTGTTTTTTTCCTCATTGGGAGTTTATCATAAAGGATGTGTGATTCTTGGAGATGTTGGTGATAATCTGTGATATATTGGAATGTAGAGAAGAGATGGTTTTCTCTTCCTGTTTTTCTGGCTTTTTGGGTGAGTGTAAATGGTTGGCAAACTTGTTGCTGTGGTTAACTATGCCAGTTGGTTAAAGGGATCTCTGTATTCGTCTCTGTTTCTGAAGAATTGTGTGGATTGCTTACCTGGCTAGTTTCTAAACTTTCTCCAATAATTTTCCCAGGAAGAGCTTCCAAATTCTGTATGCAAGTTGTATTGTTGCCCTGGATAATCCCTCCCTCCCCTAGTTTTGTACTGTACTTCTCTACCATCCACTTTCATCTGTGGTAGAAAAGAGGAGGGAGAGATTTTATTCTCCAAACTGCAATCCTTTTTTTCTTGATTCATAAGTTTTCTAATGGAAGAACTTCCAGGGATAAAGCACATCAGATTGCATGTATGTCCCAGACCGTGTAATCATTAAAGCTTAGAAAAACTTGGTCCATCTCCAGTTCTGCCCCCTGCCCCAAGCTTTCTGCACCATCTGTGGATTTCAATGGGCCTGGCCTGTGATCAGCAGATGGTGCTCTTGTGCTCTCCAGAAATCCTCTTTTCTGTCTGACTCTTGTTCTGTCTACCTAATGCCCCCTTTTCCCCTAGCCACGTTCATTTCTTACTGTGCTTTATGTGAAATCTGTGGATCCTTTCCCTCTGCTTTGGCGCCCTTGATGGCACCACACTCTTAATCAGATGTGATGTGCAGATGTGCAGCCAGACGACATGGCAAACTGCAGCCAGCTGGGCTATGTTGGTCATTTGCCGGTTTGATGGGTGTCTCTCCCATCTTTGTAGTGACTGCTCAACTAATGATTCCTGGTAGCTTCCCCCCCTTTTGTAAAGATAATATTTAAAACATCTCTTTGTGATCAGGTTGGGGTCTGAGACACTGCAGATGGGGTGTCCCCATTTTCTCCCCAGCAGGGGTTGTGAAAAGAGTGGGAGTAATAGAAATGCTATGGTTAAAGCGGACTCATTTTGTAGCTACCCCAACCTTCTGTCTTTCTGTGTATGGCAGTGTTTCTCAACCTTGGCAACTTTATGGTGTGTGGATTACAACTCCCAGAATTCCCCAGCCAGCCATGCCAAGGTTGAGAAACACTGTTCTATAGACTGGAAGGAAGAGGTAGTCATAGGTCAGTCAGCCCTACCTAGCTTCATGATGATGTTATTGTTACTGTTATTATTTATCATGTTGTTATTATAACTTGTATGCTAGGTTGTGATTTGGGGAGTAAACCAATAGAAAGTATGCTTTTATATTGTGGCTATAGTACTCTTTAACCACTCTTCATATCATGGTCTCAGTTCAGACAGGCAACCCAAACACCAGGGAGCTTGATATGTTGATAACCCAAACACCAGAGTACAGTGAAAGAAATTCTGATTCTGAGTTTAAGAGAAATGATCGAAACTGCTAAAAGTAAGTTTTCAGAAATATTGGCTGCTCTTTTGAGGAAGAAACTGAAGCAGCGTCATGCAGAAAGAGAAAAAAGGATGTGGAACTGATATTCTTTGGCCAGGAATTCTATGCAGAGAGTTCTGTCTCATGCGCCTCATTCCTTGCTTTTTATTCACAGCCAGAGCAGAATCTCTCTGGTCTCTCAGCCAGTTTGGTGTAGCGGTGAAGGTGCTGGACTAGAAGTGGGGAGACCCAGGTTCGAATCCCCCCTCAGCCATAGAAGCTCCCTGGGGGACTTTGGGTCAGTTATATTCTCCTAGCCTAATCACCACACAGGGGTGTTGTTGGGGGGAATGTATACCACCCTGAGTCCTGAATGAAAAGCCAGGATATAAATCTAACAAATCAATAAGATTAATTGAATCTGGTGATGTCGGAGACCAACCTGTAGAAATGCACGTCTGAACCCCTGGCATGCAGTAAATGCATTCAGTGGCTGAAAACCTTTGTATGTGAAAGTTTTGCCAATAATGCTGTAAGTGGAGATTGGGCGAGTGCATTTGTGAGCAGCCGTAGGTTAGAGTAGGGTTTCTCAACCTCAGCAACTTTAAGATGTGTGGACTTCAACTCCCAGAATTCCCATGGCTGGCTGGGGAATTCT